TAAACTTAACATTATTACAAATTTTGGTGCTTTCTGACTATCTGCAAGCTGTGAAAATTGGCAAAATGGTTAGTTTATGGTTCATAGCTACTGCTCTGTTCACAAGTAGTAATTCAAATAGCACTTTATAAGAAACAAGAAATTTTAGGATGCACACACACAAAAAAATATACATTGGGTCAATATTCACATATTTTTCATCCAATGGAACACTATTCAGAAATAAAGATTAAATATAAAGCATGTAAATACATGTGTGTGGTATGCATATTCATAGTTTGCTGTTGTGTGCATACTCTTGCTGTTTTAGCATAAGTTGAAGCTGTGAGGGCAGATGATAAGAAAGTATCAGAATTTTTCATGTATAAGAAAAGATTGCCCTGACAATAGTATCTCAATTGTTTAGCACTGACATTTACATAGCGCATTAGAAATATATAGTAATATATGTATAATAAAAAGATAATTGCATATTATTAATTCATTTTTTTAAATGCCCAAACTTTAACTTTCTTTCACATGAACATCTAAAATCCATTCTTAACTAAAGAATAAATAATAAAACCATGAAATTTCTATCAAGCCCATCATTTCCGAAATGTCTACTTCTGAAAGTTCCCAGCATTTCTCAATATATTATTAAATTACTAAACTAAGCATCAATGATCGTCATGTTCGCTAATGTGGCAATATCTTTCACACTTCTTTGTTACCACAAGTAACAAGTAACAAGTAGGCTTCAATAAATCTTAACTGTTACATGCTACTTTTGTCTAAAATTTGTACAAATAATAAAATTAAATGAGCTCTTTATAATATGCTCAAAGAAATAATTTGTATGAAAATTTGTATGTTATATATTGGCCTGATTAATGATTCAGGAAAATAATTCGGGTTTTCAAAGTGCTTCCCAATAATTCAAATTTCAGCTTGTGTCAAAATAAAACCTATAACACAAAGATAAGCAATTTCCTTATGAACAATGCATTTTAACATTATTCAATTACTTGGCAATCACACAGTACTGATTGCTTCAATAAACCTTACTGTAACTGTGTATTTAAAAGACTGTAATGTTTTAATTATTTCCTTAATTAAAACATTACAGTCTTTTCCTCCTTCTAACACCAAAAGAAAACCCAGATAAGAAATATAAATATAACAGTAAAAATAAATTATATTATTGAATGACACTTTACATTAATTACACTTATGCATATATTATTTTATTATAAATTATTTCAAAATCAAAGAAGAGAAAGGGGGAGAAACTTTAATATTGACATTTCTAAAATGATATAAACATTAATCATTAGTACACAGTTTGTTATTTCAGGCAAAAAGAATTCACTTTTCTGGATAGCATTTATATTTCCATCTCACTTTCAATGAAACATTAAGAGAAATGCATATAATTTAAACACACCAGTTTATTTTATTTATCAGACAGATTATGTCAACTCGAAAAAAAACCTATCAGTAAAATTCGGTAGTAATAATTCTGAATGTTAGGCAACTTGCAAGATTCAACAAAAATTATCAATACTTTTATTATAATGACAATACTACAGTAACATGAACATAAAATTAAACTGTGTATAACTATAAAATAAGCCAGCATATAATAATGGTGCATTGGTTTCTAAAACAATGGGCTCGATGAAAAAATACATGTATTATGGTAGCTATTCATATTCTTCAGCTTTCCTAATATTCTCATGTTCACTTTACATAACTAAAGTATCTAAAATACAATAAAAATGCAAACAATATTTATGAGAAAATGTTAAAAGCAATCATAAGCATTTGATTGAATGACCATATTTTGTCTTCCTGCAAGTCGAATCTTAAAATGATATGCAGTTTGAAAAATGCTTAATCCTTTTATAAAATATTCAAAAAAGATTAAAAGAAGGGGTTTAATCCTAGTATCTGGTGCACACAGGATTTGGCTACTTTTGGCGACTTTATGATGAGCAGTGAAATACGATGAAGTTAACCGCTCATTGAAATATACAGTTAAACATGTATAACTATGTATTGCAATATAACTATGTGTGTATATACATCTATGTATGTATAGTAAATATAGACGTTTTTTATCAAGTGTTGGCGATATTTTCAAAGTCACGCCAAACCGTAACTAGATTTTACCAAAAAAGGTACTGTTCTGTTATCAGGACCGGGTTTCAGAAATTGTATTTATGTATGCTTGTATATTTGTATGTTTGTGTGTCTACATATACACATCTATGCACATACTTACGAACACAGGTTCATACATTCCCGATTCTGGTCCCAATAACAGAACAGTACCCCCAAAAAAACTTGAATTACAAACTAGATTAAGATAATGTTTCAACCATACATATTTTGGACAAAACAATGCAAACTCTTATTTTTATACAATTGTTCAAACTATTTAACATAAATTTATTGCTGCAATAAAATAATAAGCAATCTGATCACACATATTATTTTGAAACTGAATGCATAAACTAGACTAAAAAAAATTCAGTCGTAAACATTTGGATAGCAGGGTAAAATTAGATATTTGAAAAGACAGCCAGCCATTGAGATACGTAATTCACGACAGAATGGTAACAATTCATAAAGCTGTGAACACATTTAACTGTCAAAAATGACATAAATAACATAAATTCGAAAAGCAGAAAACGTAAACATAAAAGTATTGTAACTGAACTTACCTTTCATGCAACAAAAAATGTCCATACAAGTAAACCTCATGACGCAGCCATTTTGGATTTCGCTTCAAATCACACAGACGTTTACGGATTTGCAGAAGAATACGAGGAACTAGTAGTTTGCCGGATACAATGTGTAATGACGCGAAAGAATATAGTTCTGCAGAACTTCCAACATTATTCCGTAATAAACAGTACTATTTCCTAATTTTTCTTTATCTAATTAATTAATTAATAGGGAATAGTTAAATAATGCCGAATTCATTTTTAATGAAATGTAAAATTTTGCATGTATGGGACGACCACCTTCCGTCCAATATTTCTGTGAATATAAACAAAATTTTGGAATCTGAGAGTATCAGTAAATAAATATATAGAATATCGCCTCTCAAACGACCACTTCTGAAAGTGACGAATAGTTCTGAGATTATAAATAAATATTGATATTAAAGCATTATTTCTATAAGACGACCATCTCTATATAAGACCAAAGTTTCTAGAATCTTGGATAGTCATCGGAGATGTATCTTTACTGCGAAATTATCGCACGACTGTAATTCAATATCAATAACAGATCGCGCGATTGAAAAACATTTTCTGTCCTGTAATTAGAGGAAAAACATTTTCCTTATGAGGTATTTCTTTCGCTTTCCTAGCGTGCCTTCGTGGTGTAATAGTTCTGCACGCTGGGCCGGTATTTCAGAGGTCCGTGGTTCGATTCACGGCGAAGGCGGTTGCTAATTTTTCATCTCTACGGCTTCCCGAAAAAATCCTAATGTCTACAGTGGCGCTCGAATTAAAAATGTGTTGTATGAGTTATATCCACACCCAGGATTTAGTAATTGGATGCCCTTAAAAAAAATGTTGGCCTTTAAAATGAGAAGTAATATAAGGTATTTCTCCCGCTTTCCTAGCGTGTCTTCGGCCCACCAGCGGCCGAGCGGTAAAGTCGCTGAACCCTGGTAGTGCGATCCGAGGTTCGAATCCCGCGAACGGGCTGGCTGCATGGGTGTTTTTGTGGTTTTCCTCACGTGTATACGAGCCAGTTTCCCTTAAAAAAAGTCCTCCACGGAAGGCATCCCCCTCGTCTTAGGCAGATAGACCTAGTGTACTTTGCCGTAATTCTCAATACACCACACCACACCTAGCGTGTCTTCGTGGTGTAGTGGTTCTGCACACTGGGCCGGTATTCCAGGGTCCGTCCTTCGATTCCCGGCGAAGGCAGTTGCTAATTTTTCATGTTTCCTGCTTCCAAAAAAAATAACCTAATGTCTCTATACCCAAATTTTAAAAAAAAAATTCGTTTCCGTAATTAAAATATATATATCTAATTTTACCTATATTTGTAGTAGGGTTTGTAATCTGTAAGTAATTATACATGTAATTTATACATTTTTATAAAAAAAATTGTGTTATTTAGAATTTTGCAATATTCTAGAAAATGCTAATCCATTGAAAAAAAATCTTTTCCATGACTAAATAAATTTTTAAAAACGTCAGAAAATAGCAGTTAAAATTAATAACAACAAAATAACAAGAATAAATCATCAATCATATCAATATTTTTAATGTACAGCATTTAGAAAAATTATTAGTAATATACATATGAAAAATAAAATAATGTGCAATGTCAAAAAAAATTAAAACTGGTAAATTTGAGAACAAATATCCTCAAAATGTTTTGACAACGAAAGTCCTCCGTACAATGCAGAATGAATCGGGTGAAAGGTGACTCCCGGAATTGAGAACAACATTGGTGTATCCGGATAGACAAATAACATGTTAATTACTTCTCAGACCTATCCAAGGACCCAAGTTCCGGGGTTGCGCTTTAGCATCTGAATTTGTGCTATAAATGGTTGCAAACCAAGGATTCTTATACTTTGCACAAGCCTTTGAGGCACAAGTTTCCCAGGAACAGAGTCATCGTAGGAGGCTTAAACGAGCAATTTCAATCTGATTTAGTGGATATGCAATCCCTGGCCTCTTTTAATGATGGATATAAATATTTGCTGACCTGTATAGATATCCTTTCGAAATACGCTTGGGCTATCCCCTCTCAAAGATAAAACATCTGTGTCCATCCAATCCGCTTTCGAAAAGATATTTTCGGAACGTACACCCGAATCATTACAAACAGATGCAGGGAAAGAGTTTACCAATAAACAAGTTTCAAAATTTTTTGAAAAAGAGAAACGTTCGCTTTTTCACGACACATAATACAACCAAAGCTTCTGTGTCGTAGAACGATTTAATCGAACTCTAAAAACAAAAATGTGGAAATACTTTACCGAAATGAATACACGAAAGTACATTGATGTGATTGATAAATTGATATCCAGTTATAACCATACATGGCATCGTAGTATTAAGACAGAACCTGTATCCGTTACATTACAAAATCAAGAAAAAAATTGGAAGGAAAACGCTGTATACGGTCAGCAACCAGTACAAAACCCTATTTCTTCAGATTTAAAGATTGGAGATACGGTACGCATCAGCCGAGAAAAAATGCTCTTTGAGAAAGGATACGAACAAAACTGGACACGAGAAATTTTTACAATCTATAAAATTATTCGACGGATTCCTGTTGTCTATAAACTGAAAGATCTAGCAGGAGAAGTTATACAAGGAACTTTTTACAAACAAGAACTTCAAAAGGTTTCGGACTCTGGTTATTATCCCGTAGAAAAAGTTTTAAAAAAGAGGAAACGTCGCGGGAAAATAGAATATTTTGTGAAATTTCAGGGGTACCCCGAAAGCTTCAATGCTTGGGTGGATGATGTGAGAAGGGTATAAAAGGCCCGTACATTCTGCTTATCTGTCATTTGAACGAAACATGTCTTTCTTTATCACACTGATCAGCGACAGCTCCATGCGTTTTTTTCCAGACAACAAAATATCACAATTTACCACTCAGCTTCCTACTCCGATGGATTTAAATAGTCAGTGGGAGTTATCTCTTGTGGACTTTATTTACCCTCACACATGGTATAACGTCCGAAAAGACAATAATTTATTTGGATTTGATTTGATTTGGGTGATGGAAAATTGGAAGGTCGAAGAGTGCCTCCAGGATGTTATGAAACGATACCAGATTTATTAAAAGCCATGAAAATACCTTCCCATAAAAATAAGATTGAATTCAGTTATCATCCTGTTCACGAAAAAAGTGACCATTAAGACCGACGAAAACTGCAAAGTCATTCTTCACGAAGGATTAGCTGAACTTCTAGGCTTCGAGCCGGGTGTTTACAAAGGATTGAAACAAAGTCCTTTTTACAAAAGGATCAAAAAGTATATTTTCCTGTCATGTATGTGTATTGCGATCTCGTAGAGCCTCAAATTGTGGGAGATGTACAAGCCCGTTGTTAAAAATTGTCACCGTAGAAGGAAATGACGGAGACATCATAAATGCTCATTACCACCGGCCCTTTTACTTGCCAGTTATCCATCAACATTTCCAGACTGTACATATTGACATAAGACTTCACTCTGGAGATTTAGTACCATTCGAAAAAGGCAAAGTATTTCTTGTGTTGCATTTTCGTCTGAGACAAATTCTATAAAAGAAGCCTTCACCTGCAAATTGATTTCATTTGGATTGTGTATGCAAGATTAGAAGCATCAAACATGCGGGTGCCTTATACGTGTTGCACGAAAAAATTTGAAGATTATTATTTAGCTCAAACTGGAAATGGATTACCTTACTATCAAGGAACCATTTTACAGAAAGGTTATGGTATTGGTGGATTTTTTGCAAAGCTGTTTCGCAGTGCTATGCCTTTTTTGATGAGTGGAGCCAAAACAGTTGGAAAAGAAGCTTTGCGGACTGGAACACAAATTGCAAACGACGTATTGTCGGGAGAAAATTTTAAAGTCTCCCTCAAAACCAGATCTAAAGAAGCTGGCAAAAAATTAGCGAGGAAAGCAGTTCAGAAAGCAGACGAGATGATTGGTCACGGAAGGTTTAAAAGGAAGCGCAAAACCCCCAAACACTTCATTTCGTCTAAAGCCAGGAAGGTGCAACGACGTGATATTTTTGACTCGTAATGGCTTTTCTGTTAAAAGATTCTCCGGAATGCGCAAAATCCGAATTGGATTTATTTTCGTTACCTCCCACACAAACAGTTATCGAAAAAGGTCAGTGGGTTGAATTTCATCCATTAGCCAATGTATCGGAAGGAAGTCCTGTCGAGTTCAATGTTTCTGGAAGCGGAGACGACTACCTAGACTTATCACAGACACAACTCTACGTCAAAGTGAAAATTTTAAAAAATGATGGCAAGCCAATCACGGCTGAAAGTAAAGTGGGACCTGTCAATCTCTTTTTACATTCTATGTTTTCTCAAGTGGATATTAGCTTAAATGAAAGACTCGTTTCCACCAGTAATAACACGTATCCTTACAGAGCCATGATAGAAAAATTATTGAATCATGGTTTTGATACGAAAACGTCTCAACTGTCATCAGAATTGTTTTTCAAAGATACAGCAGGACGTATGAACGTTTTTGATATTCAAGACACTCAGCCGAATGAAGGATTCAACCAACGAGCAGAATTGTTTAAACTGAGTGCTTCGGTCGATATGATTGGCCGATTGCACTTGGATATGTTTCATCAGGAAAGACTTTTGCTGAATATGGTGGATATGAAAATTAAACTCATACGCAGCAAACCTGAATTTTGTTTATTGGGCGAAGGTGAATTTAAAGTTTTACTCGAACAAGCTTCATTTTGTTTGTACGCAAAGTGAGAGTCAGTCAGGTGTTGTGCTAGGACATGCCAAAAGCCTAGAAAAATCGACAGCCAAATATCCCATTAATAGAGTGCTCTGCAAAGCCTATTCCATTCCAACGGGAAATATGAGTTTTATTCAAGACAATATTTTCATAGGTCAAATGCCTAATCGTATTGTGGTGGCATGTGTCGATAATGATGCCTTTAACGGAAACTATAAAAAGTCTCCTTTTGAATTCAAGCATTATAATATGAACTTTATCGGCGTTTATGTGGACGGGCAACCGGTACCTCATAATCCTCTTCAGCCTAATTTTGACAAAAATCATTTCATACGAGCTTATCAGAATTTATTTATGAATGCAGACGACAGAGGACTTTACCTTTCAAGATCAGAATTTTCAAAAGGATATTCCTTATTTCGCTTCGACCTGTCACCTGACCTTTGTGATGGCTCTCATTTAAATCTAGTTCGACACAGCAACTTAAGATTAGAAATAAAATTTGGGACTCCCTTACAATAAACTGTTTCGTTATTAGTGTACGCTGAATTTGAAAATTTGATAGAAATCAATAAAGCTCGAAATATTCTGTACGATTTTGGAAACTGATGAATTCATCACAGATTCATCAAATCTTATCTTTCTTCAGCTCGCTGAGACCGAAGCAGCCCGGGAGCTTGGACAACGCCATCGGTAGAAAATTTAATGAGTCTATGACCCGAATGTTCAGACTGGGGTGTCTTAAACACATGATCATAGACCCGTTAGGAATCACGTCCGGCGCTGTGCCTTTCTCCAGGAGCCAGGCCATCACGAACTGACCATCGAACCTGTAATTAAAAAAAAAACATTATGAATAATATTGAAAAAAATAGTCGTAATTAAAAAGCATGTAAACTATAGTATTTATCTTACCCTTTCATGTGTGCCACGGCGGTGAAGCCCTTGTGCTCTGTAGAGAACAGCCAGACGCAGAAATCTTGACATGCCGTGTAGCCCGGAAACACTTTTTCTGTGCCGTCGGCATACTGAGCCACCGCGAAATTTACGAGATGCTCCCCCGAAGACTGGTCCGTTTCAAAGTCGAAAAAGATGAGCTTATCCTCGGACTTTTTCGGAGCAACACGCCGCAAATAACAACGGTGCTCAGCAGCCACGACAAACTGGCCGCAAGACGGACACTTGGTGGTACCGCACTTATGCAGATCTTTAGGGCAATCCCGCCTCCGGATCACTTGGCAGCTGTAACGACAATAATTTTTTTTTAACATAACAATTTTGAGAAAATTATATGATAAATAACTTTAATCATTAACATATATTTTCAAAACACTTACTCTATCACAAAGCGAAAATTCTTGATTTCCAGTCAGGGCTTTGTGTGCTGCATAAAGCAGGCATCGGATCGGCAGAGACGGTCACAGTCCGGGCATCGTTGGGGCTGGCCTGGAGCACAGTCGGTTCTCAAGCATATGGGACAGGCATTTGGTAGGCCTTTTCACAGGTCGTGCAATAGTGATCACTGCCGAAAAATCCCTTGAGGGATTTGATCACATCGTAATGCCCATCATGGAGCCATAAATTGATCCGTTGTGCCCTCTCTCTTCCTTTATAGACCACCTAAGATACAGCAAGACAAAAACAAAATTCTCTTGAATTCCAAAAATCAAAGTAAAACCAGTTTTTAACATTTAATTGCATACATAAAGCGATCTAAAAATTCCTAATGCATTTAACATCGAAAGTAATTACATGCATATATGTTAAAGTAAAACAAAAAAAAAATTTCATCATGAATTCATTTTTTATAGTTTAAAGTTTTAACATCTTAATGAATTGTGTGCATGCATAAAATTTAACGCAATCTAAAAAATTCGCCATGCATTCAGTTTTACAAGTTAAAGTTTTAACATTTAAATGATCAGAAATATATGCCTAAATGTTCACTTTTTGCTATATTTTTAACATAGAAACAAATTGCCTTTGTGCATACATGTAAATAAAATCTAAAATGTTAAAGTATTCTAAAAATAAAAATTTTTAAAAGTGAAAGTTTTAACGAATTGCATACATAAAATAAGAAATTAATCTAACAATTTTAAGTAAACTAAAACCTAATTAATTTTTACAAGGTATATTTTTTAACATCGAAGCGAACTGCATGCATTCATGGATTCTATGCGTGAATATGCATAAAATATAATCTTAAAAGTTAAAGTAGTCTAAAAATTCACTAGCCATTTTTATAAGGCATATTTTTAACGTCTAAAGAAATAGCATGCATAAAATATAAATTTTATGTTAAATGTAAAATTAATCTAAAAACTTTTCAAGTTATGTTTTTAGCATCTAAATAAATTTCATACATAAAAATAATCTAAAAAATGTAACACAATCTAGAAAATTTACTACGTATTCAGTATTTCAAGTTATCTTTTTTTAACGTGGAAACGAATTGCTTACATGCATAAAATATAAAGTTAATCTAACAATTTAAAGTAATTTTAAAAATAAAGATTCACGTTATATTTTAAATTTCTAAATAAAAAACTTTTCTCTAAAAATAAATTCCAGAATCGAACAATTTAGAAAAAGAATACATTCAGTTTTGAACATTAATATTTTTTAAAAGTAATTTTAAAAAGTATTCATGTACCCAAATAAATTTTTATCATATAGCCACAAATTATAAAAGAACTAAAATCAAGTTACGATATGAAAACATATAGAAAAAATATTTGTAGGTATGAACATTTAAAAAACAGAAATATCTTGAGATAAAAATAATGACTTACTCTGTTCAAGTTTTCCGAAGAAAAGACGGCAATTTGGTACGTGCAAGGTGGATCTTCAAATATGGCTATTCTCCGCAAACGTGCAAGGGGCCTAAAGGAACATTCGTGGCCATATGGAGCTCTCTTGCTCGCTTCACGAGGGCTGGTCGACGACGATCTTTCATGGCCTTAATAGCAGCTTTGTCCTCATTCAGATGTGCCAAAGCATACACAATTGCTTTAGCGCAACACAATCCTTCCTCATCGTAGGGTATGGACAAAATTGACTGTTTTCTCAGTCTGTCCAGGGAGATATTGATCACTTTCCTATTACCACCGGCGCCCACAGGTCGTCTGATGGTGATCACATCAACTGCAAATCCTGTGTCTAGCTCGATTTTATCTTTGGATTGTAGCACTTTCATGACAGCAGCCAAAATCTTTTCCACTGTGAGAGTCGAAACTGCCATTAAGGAAGTGCTGATAGGCTTATCCAACCCTTCAGCTTGAATGCAGAACCGGATGATGTCTGATGGGCTTAGATCAGCTGTTGTCCGGCGAATCAGCTGCTCGAACAACTCCCGGACGGTGTCAGGAATTCGAACCATCGGGACTCCTTGCACATTCAGAGGCAACCGTTCAATGTCCACACTGGCTCTGAAAGTAATTTCCTCGGCTTGATATTTATGGTTGCGTCGACGAGACTTTTCAGTAAGCACTATCGCCTCATCGAGCTGAAAAGTAAAAATAAAAATTAAGTTCTCGGTAATAATCAAACATTTTCAAAAAGACATTATGATAAAAGAAAAATACACACCGAACGTTCATTGGAACCAGCCATGTATACAGGCCCACGAGTTGACGAGGAAGAAGTCTAAAAATAAATAAAATAAAAATAAATACATTCATTTCTAGTACTAGAAAAAATATTCTAATCGAATCATAACGAAACTAAAATTTACCTCAAATCCGGAACCCACTTGATAATACAAGGGTAGATCCATAGGATTTTCCATAAAGATTTGATCCACTTCATCTATTAACTAGCAAAAGAAAAGTGAATACGTTCAAAATAAAATATTACGTAGAAATAAAATACATTCAAATTGTACCCTAGGAAATACGTGTAAAATAATTTAAACTTACATCGTCATCCGAATCGTGGAAAGGACAATCGGAATCCTCAAATAACACCTAACAATTAAAAATTAGAATAAATAACATATTAAAAAAATTCGTTTTCAAAAATAGTAATTACCTAAAAATAAGGTACACAGCAAAAAATGTACTTACATTAGATGCAGAATAAACTCGCTTGGCAGACATCGTGTAGAAAAACGAAATGGCGAAAAAAAAAAAAAAAATTCGCAGAAAGTCAAAAGTAACGTTCACTCAGCAACAATCAGAGTAGAAATGATTGCAATCATCAAAGCGAGCGAATATATAGACGATGTATAAGAAAGCAATACGCTGATTGGCTGAAATAAGATAGATATTGTTAGCGGAATGCTGATTGGTTGTTAAGATTGTATACGTTCGCCACGGCGGATGTAGAAAGCGTGAAGCGGTTTCGACAGGCTGCAACGTGAAAGAGGTGACGTTTGCTTGTTTCCCCCAGCCTAGTGACGTCATGGTGATTTTCGCTCCAAACGGAAAAATAACAGGTTTGATAACATGAAGGGCTTAGCCGAGCGGTAAAGCGCTAGACTCCCATCCCAGAGATAGCGAGTTCGAATCTCAGCCGTGGAGTTATTTTTAAAATTCATTAAAAATGGATGAAAATATTATGGAGTCAATTAAAACTAATTAAAAATAATGACGGATTAAATAATTAAAAAGGATGATTCATAATTAAATAATGAAACATAATTAAAAAATAATGAATAAAAAGGATTAACTAACTAAAATAATAAAGGAAAAAATTGATAAATAAGGAAAATAGTTGACGTCACGTGGTTTAAGCGACCATTGCCACAAACATAAAAAATAGTGTCGTTGCCACAAAAAATAAACAACTTTGAAAAGATCGTTGCCACAGAATCAAAACGAAAGTTTAATGATGTCATTCCAACACGTGATACAAGATGGCGCTGGTGTCGTCACTTCCGGAGAAATTCAAAATGGCGGAGGCCACGCCCCTTTTCTGTGACGTCACTTCCGCCGCCCGGTTACCCCGCTTACTACTCTCGTTGCTGTTTTGTGTAATTTTCAGTGTGCTGTCATTTTATAAAATTGCTACTTTTTTTAACTGTTTTTCACGTGTTAGTTTGGCGAAAGATTAGTCAGCAATGTCTGAGTACTTTGGAGAAGGGTTGGACGATTAATCAGAGAATACCTTCGAATTTTTAGCTATCGCATAGTCATTAATAATGATAGATATTTTTAAATTAACATATTTAATTTTGCGTTCATAATAATTCAATTTTAATTATTTAGAAATCAATCAGCCTTATTGAGGGCCAGCGCTAGATATCTTACCGCCTGATGCAGTCTCTGTGGGTCCTAAATTCTGGGACCCTCTGCGACCATACGAGCTTTAGCTCTGGTTCTGATTGATTGATTTCTAAATCATGCAAGAAATATTAATTTTAGTAAACATTTAAACAGACTGTTAAATATGTTAGCCTGTGTACGTCTAGAAGCGTTTGCTGCGTTTTAAGAGGATACTAATTAGTATCATTAATTTTAAATAATTAATTTTCCATTTTCAAATTTTGCTTATATATGCTTTCCCAGAAGAAAGGAAAAAAAATTCAAGATAAATTAATATTTAAAGTTTAATGAGCAATGCATTGCATAAAATGACTATAAATACATTTCTACAATTAAAAATATTGCTTTCTTCTCACGCCTTCGTGGTGTGGTGGTCTGCACGCTGGGCGCGTATTCCAGAGGTTCGCGGTTCGATTCCCGGCGAAGGCATTGCTAATTTTTCATCTAGTCTGCTTCCAAAAAAATCCTAATGTCTCTACAATGTCGCCGAACTCAAAGGGTGGTGGATGATGATTCTCCACACTCGGGTTTTGGCGATTGGGTCCTCTAAAAACCCCAGTCGGTTTTTAAACGGGGGAGTATATAAGGTCTTTCTTCCGCCTTCTTGGCATGCCTTTATGGTGTGGTCGTCAAATTCTGAAATTCAAATTAAATTTTTATACATATGTACATATATCTTAAAGCTAACGATTAGCTTTAACTGTTATTTGATAGCCATCTGCTACTTGTACATTTACGCTATTTTTTATCGCAATCAAGGAGCGTGTAACACCTTAAACCCTTTCAGGACGGTTGTAGCATATATGCATCCGCAGCTAAACGTCTTACGAGACCGCGTTCCGCTTAGCGCAGCTCACCTTGGAGACGGTGTGTTACACCAGTGCAACGCAGTTTGCGGTGCACCAGTGCATCATCCGGCTGCTAGCGACATTTGGGACTGATGCATATATGACACTCTCGTTTGCAGAGGGTTTTTAATTCAGCAACATGCCATCGCGAAGTAAGCTGAAACTGAGTCAGCTTAATTGCTTCATTAAGGTTTTCTAAATTTGTGTCTAAAACTTCCTTTGGTGAAAATATGGACAAAAAATTCTTCCAAATATCCATCTATATGTTGATTATAAATAATAATGAAGATGGTGATGGTGACGATAATATAAATTTGAAGGAATCATTTATTGCCGAACTACAGCCTCTTAAAAAAAGGGTAAAGAAACTAATTCTTTGTTACATTCACTTTTATTAAGTAATAAATTAATTTCAGAAAGTAATATGAGTCTGGGTAGCAATCAGTAAACGCCTTTGCACTCTGTTATTATATTCCCCTGCGTATTAAACGTCTTTGGAATGCCTTTGACTATATAAATCATCTAAATTCATGCCAAAATTATTAAGCTGAGTTTTTATTAACTATAAAACAAAGGTCTAAGAATCATACATGTTTTTGAGCTTATATAGTAATAAATCCAACAACAGGGCCTGATCAGTGCCTAAGCCCACAATGTTCGAACCTAAAACTCCAGGTTTCGAAGGTTCCAAACGCACAAAAAGCAAAGTGAGCATAGGGAGGATTCTTGAAAAAATTCAAGCCTATGGCGTCGGACTGCTCTAACAGGGCGTTGTCGGATCAAAGGTGATATTTGTTTTGAGTCCGGATAAGGTGCTTCTCAGTTTTTTGGATAAATTGTATGTTTAGCTGGAGCATACCCGTGCCTTAATTAAAAAGATTCTTTTATGTGAGTGAACCACAATTTCAGCAGACACAAATTTCAATTTAATAAGAAATCTGCTTTAAATGTCGATTCTTTCTGAATGTATGCCTATATTTTCTTGAGGAACAGTGAGAGGGACTGAGAATTTTAAGGAAAGAAATCTTCCCTTCCACATGCTAAAGACTTATTCTAAAGGAAGTGCAATGAGAGAGTAATGAGACCGAGTAAATATTTCTTTCTTGAACGTACTAAAAGTGGTTACCTTGGTCGTGCATGTGCAGCGCTGGTGACTTCCCAGTGCAGAGTTCCAGCACACATTTTGAACAATATAATTAAATACGGAAGACTAAAATTGTCTGTTGTACAGAGCCTTCCTTTCGTTTTGTTCTCACATTGTTATTGGATCGGATTCGGGGGGAAATTTTTCCTCTGTTGCTTCTTGCTTGACAGTTGGAATTATATCCGCAAGACATCATGATCAGAAGATGTTGGATTCTTCTCTTTTTGCTCCCACAAGTGCACTTCTGCCTTCTTCTAAATTTCCTTCTATAATCTCATACTGTTTCTAGCATTCTCTTTATTCTCATTCGTGACGGTTTAATAGTTTAACCTTTTTTTTTTCCCCATTTGTATTCTGGAAAAAAGAATGATTTTTTTTTTTTTTTTTTAAATCATCAATTGAAATAGTACATTATACCGTATATTTGGGGCTTAATTTTAGCTGGAGGCCAGCTTAGCTATTCCATGTGCACCAGCGATTAATATCTTTTAAACGCTTAAGTTTGCCTTTTGTATGAATAATATTCGTTTATACAGTAAGACCCCGCTTAACGCGGGGGATACGTTCCATCAAAGTAGAGCGTAATGAGAAACAGCGCTAAACGAGGCTATCTTTACATGTAAATATTGGGGTTAGGGGAAGATGGCTAGGAAATTGGTTAGGTATTAAATTTAAAAAGTATGTTTTTTAATAAAAATAAAACCAAACATTTATTACCAAATTAATACCACATTATTATTTCTTGCAAAAATAAAAACAAAATATAAATAACAAAACGAATATTCTTAAAAAAAAAACAAATAAAATTCTCAGTCAGTCATATTTAGTTAGCCTTCCGCGTTTTTAGTGTTCTGCCTTTTTGTGACAAAAGCATCTAATGTTGTTTGCCTTTTTCTTTTGCGTTGTTCTCTTAAAAGTTCTTCATAAACGGATAGAGCATCTCTAACACCACGCCTTACTTTGAGCTCCTGTCAAAATTCGGATCATTTTCAATAAATTGATCCATTATTTCAGTTATGGTAGACAACTCCTTTTTACAAACGCCATCGAAAGTTCTTTTTGCTCTTCTTCTGAATCACTGCTGTCAACATTTTTGTTTTCTTCTTGTTCAGTTAATTCCTTGAGCTCATCATTAGAAAGACTAGCCGCTGCTTCTTGAATTATTTCTTCGACATCTTCCACATTTACCCCTTCAAAATATGTCTGTACAATACCGCACCAAACAAGAAATACAAGTACACTCTTTCGGATATGTATTTGAAACCTATCGCTGCATAATATTTCGGGGAATCCCCGTATGCTGCGAGCGATTTCGTGGAATCCCCGGGTTGAAATAAAAGAGCGCTAAACCGAAACAGCGCTAAACGAAACAGCGTTAAGCGGGGTCTTACTGTAATTTTACTGTCTCGTTATTATAAGAATCGCTATGGTTGTCTGCAGTTAATAGTTGTCATATTAGTCAAGTTGTCAATCAATTAGTCAAGTTGCATATAACGTATATTTCATCAAATGTTATTACTCAGAGTAAACAAATCGAAGAAAATGCCATATGTAAACACCACGTGTATTACTCAACGAAGTGCAAGCAATGGAAATTCTGCTCTAATATATAAAGTGTGTTGCGACCGATCTCGAACACGGATTTTCCCTTTTGTTCGCCGCGCAGTGCGGTCTGCTTAAATGCCTCGGACACATGCCTTGTTCCTTCAATTATTTAAATGGCATACAAGTAACTTTTTAAAGCATTTTATAGATATTTTTCGGCAGAATTTCAATATGAGGAATATTTTATCAGCTTTCCAGCTTTATTAGCAATCGAATCATAACATGTTTATATTGAAATGGCAAAAGTGATGC